CACTCAAACAGGGCTGCTCTGATTATTTAGTGTTAGAGCGAATTCCCACTTTCGTAAACTTGGAAATAAAGTAGAAATTCCGAAACTCAAATTATAATGCGTTGAATGACGGGATTCTTTCAAAGTATCGAAAACGGTAGTCAGGTCACCGCTAGAGCGCCTTCATGAACTACCTCTGGTATTCGCTAGCTCTCCATTTCCTAGTTGCTATCTCCTCTTCAATCGAGGTCAAAAAATTTACCTTCCCCTTAAAATTTATCGTACCTTAAAGTGTACTCTGTAAGTTGATCGTCCAAATCATGCTCACCTCTCCCATGCGTGTCAAAAGTATTAAGCCTGAGGCCACCCAAAGCCGTTTATGCATTCGTGGCCTCGGATTTGCTAACTCACTCACACAAATGCAAAGGCAAATGGAAGCTCAGGGCGCAAAAGTGAGGCGTGAACGCACACGTGGCCACCCAAAATATCAGCAAAGGCAGCGGAAGCAAACTTGAAGTCGAGACGCAGGGAACATTTGTACGCACTCGACGTGCTGCATAGGCAGTGTCTTGCCACTGGCAATGCTTTCTTCTCATTTTCAGTTCCAAGGCTACATCCCCGAGCTAGAAAAACTTCGTCGCGCCAATCAAGAGGCAAATTTGCGTATTGCTGCTCTCGTCAAGCTGGTTCAAGGCGAGGAAGAGCACTTGACCGAGCAAGACAAGTCAGCGGTCAGTGTGCTCCTTTAATAAACTATCAGGTGTCAGGTTACAATTAAGCATGGTCAAGCTACAGTAAAGTGGACGTTTTGCGCACGATGTAGGAATTAGTTTTTAATTAATTTTATTTAAATTTGTCAAGTAATCTGTCAACAAAGCGGCTTGAAAAGTAGTACATCGAATTGAATGTTGATATATAAGATTTTGACGAATCTCATCGCAATGATTTTCAATAGGTTAGTTTTGAGAAACGTTTGGACGATTCACTGGTGACACCCATCTTCAGTACCTCAACTGCATAATGCTCTGTCAGCCACTTAGGCTATCGGGGGAGGTTAGTAGGGCGGTATTATTGTGCATTGAGCCACTTCGAGGGCGCCATCATAATGCCATCTGCGTAAGAAGGCTTACTCTGCACGACAAGTTGATAGTAATGGCTTAATCAGATTTTCAGAGCTGCCATCCAAATGCGATTCTTTAACATTTTTAATCAAAGAACATTTTATTATCGGGTAGGCTCCAAATACAGAAATAAATTCATATCTAACTAGTAAATAAATAAATCATTTTATGTAGTCAAGGTTTTTACTCCTCACCTATCAACTACATGTCTGAAGGTTGCCCAAAGGAAATCAACTGGGTACTGGTGGCTGTCCGTACCATATTCGGACATCATCCTCTCCTCGTAAAACGGAGAACTGTATTTATTTTGCACGGTTAAAG